GCTTGCAACTAAAGAGAGCCTTACTCACGAGAAAACGTTCATGCCTGGATTGCCCCTGGTATAGCTGCCGCAAGGCCACGATCATCTCGTGGGCCTTCATGTCCTCGTGCTGTTTTTGCAGCTCGGGTATCATGGTAGCCAGCATGACACAGCTAACCTGGTTGTCATCCTTAACGTGTTTCTCGTAGGCATCTTTGACTGCTTTCGGGGCGTTAGCGGGAGGGGCAGGAGGAATGGGCTTTTCGAGCACATACTCTTTCTCATCCATGCGGAGAACAATGCAGAGATTGCGTTGCCAGTCAACAAAGTTTGTTCCGTTCAATTTATCTTTATCCAGAATGGAACGCAGGGCGAGGTTGTTTGTGTTGTTTTTTGCCATCTACAGAGTTTTGCGAAGATAGTTATTATCATGAATTAAGTATCTAATAGGTCTTTATTAAATACTCTCCCACTATTTCTAACAAGTCAACTACCCTCAGGTACGGAACCTATTGACTTGGGGTTTCTATTTGAAGAATACCCTAGCGGGCCAAGATCCATATTTTATTTAACTATAGTTGTGCTTTGCATCTTGCCCTACAATTAAATTATTTAGGTAGGAATTCATTCGAATTGCAATCGTTATTACAACTCTTGGTTCGGTGGATTCTTTTAAGTAAAATTCTTAATTGGGCCAGATCCATATTTCATTTAACTATAGTTGTGTTTTGCATTTTGCCCTACAGTTAAATTATTTCTGGTAGGAATAAATTCCAATTGTAACAATTTACAACTCTGGTTGGATGATCTGATTTTATTTATTGATCCTACCGCAGTGCCCTAAGTCTCTCATCCTTATGACCAAGACTTAGTTAAGACTAACCCGGGGCGAGTCAGTACCCTAGTTACGGGTTTCGCGCCAAACCAACGTAAACCGGGCGTCTCACTTGGGTGAGTCCGTTACCGATCTAAATTGGGTTTGACGAGTGACGGGGCGTCGGGGTGGCACAGACTTAAAATTATGAGGGATTTATAACGCAGTCTTGCCTATGGCATACACCGCGCGTATGCACTAGCGAAAATCACATACATGCATACATTCAATCATACATCACATGCAT